AGCATTTGGAAAACGAACGAATGATTTTAGAATATTGCAGTAATGTAACAAAATTATTTTATGCAATAAACTACGCTAAACAACTGTACTCGTATTATAATTCCCTAACAATCCGCTAGATGGCATTGAACCATTTTACCTAAATTTTGCGTTGTGGTATTTATAAATGTTTCTTTGAAATGGTGACTACCTTGATTGAATTTTCACAACGTGAGAGAAACATAGGTACTATTAATTTATATTTAGGGGTCGAGTCCAAGTGGAAACGACTGCCAGACCTATCTGATAGTTTATTACCTATATAAATTTTTGTAATGTACACGTAGTACTGACGGTTACACTTAACCTGGCACTTTGTAGGCTCTTTAAGTATGGATTTAGTAACGTCATCACAACGTCAAAGTTCCCGTTACATTACACGTTAGCAATGATCTTTTTTTTACGTAACGCCACTGCGTATTTGGAATTCCAATTTCAATACCGTACATTAAAATTTTTGCACGCTAACAAGCAGTAAAATGCTCTTATCTGAGACAACGTCAAACTTTTCTTCAACCGTGCTTATTTTACGTCATGATCACCATTCCAACTGAAAGACCTCAAAGAATGCTACAACGACTGGTCTTGTGCTGCTTGCATCTAATGAATTCACGCAACTTTCACTAGGTCATGGGTCCACCTTGCCCTTTGTCTGCCCACACAGCGTCTTTTTTGATTCCATTGGCTATCTGTTCTGCGAGCAATGTACCTCACCCACTACCACTTGACTTTTACAATCTTTGGGTTATGTCGGTTACTCTGTTTCTTTTGCGGATATCCTCATTTCTGATTCGATCTCGATCTGACACTCCGAACGAAGCGCTTTCTATTGCCCTTCGGGTGACCTTGAGCTTTCTTATGAAGCCCATAGTGAACATTCACGTCTCAGTGCTATATATCATCACTGGTCATATTCTGTTCACACTGTTGTATTTTAGACAAGAAGATAAATATGACATATTTTATGTAAATAAAGCAATGTCACATGATTTACAAAGTCATTCCTATACTACATACGCGGAGGAAAACTTCAAGTATATAATAAAACTAGAGCAACATTGCCAAGACGCCTTAAATATTTACAAGGTCGCGTGTAGTGGCCGAGTATCTCTGGATAGCTGTTCAAAAATGTTAGAATATTATACATAGAATATGTTTACATTACCTACTCGCATACTTTGTGAAACTCATGAAATAACTTTTTGTTATATTATGACGAATTTGTGATAGTGGTAATTGAGGGGAGGATAGAAGGAAGAACAAAGAGAGGAAGATCAAGAATGGCGTAGTGATCACATAAAAAAGAAGATCAAAGTGAACAGATATAAAGAGGTCAAGGAACTCGATATGAACCGTGAGGAGTGGAGGAAGCTACACCGACATGAGTCTGGCTCTTAAATAAGATGATGATATGGCGTGTCAAGTAGGAGTGTCTCCCGTGTACATCAAAATATACATAATATGTGAAGTGATTCAGACTCGGACAATATTATTTCTATGACCACGACGACCAGTGCACGTTAGAATGAACATAACGCATTCAAATTCAGCTTTATTATTATGTCTATATGACCATATGATACTGTTATATATCTCTTTGGTACATTGTTACCTGGGTTACGTTTGACATATTATTCCATTATTATTCAATAAAATGTCTTAAAGTGATTTCTGTATTTTTATGAATATACTACAAATTGGCGACGATGGACGAACTCACGCGACTATACAGAACACGTACATCGATACGCGGCCAATTGACAAAACTGGAACACAAATTCTCAGAAATTCACGAAAACATTACAGAGTATGAAGCTAACGTCAGACTCTCAAACCTGGAAATTTATGAAAAGAAGTTTGACATGGTACAGACGGACATCGAATCTCAAATCGAAGCCGATTTCGAAGCTGAGGTCGAACAGAGGTACAGTACTCAGGAACAAATAATCAATATTAAATTGAAGCTTCAAAAGCTGCGCCCTACACCAACAGTAGTTCACGCGCCATCGCAGAACTACGAGGACGCACTCGTCGCACGTTCAACAAGCTCATTGCCACCAAAACTTAACTTACAACCTTTTCATGAAAAAGAAACATTTAAAAATTTTGTAAAACGTTTGGAAATGTATTTACAACTGTGCAATTACGAGGACATGCGCACCAAAACTTTAATGTTATTATCTTCTCTGTCACCGGAATTACATCTGAAGGCATATGATCTCTGCTCGCCCTCCGACCCCCGTGAACTAGAGTTCAGTGTACTCGTTAAAACCCTAGAAGAGTATATAGACCCTAAACCAAGTATCTGGGCTTGCCAACACAAATTCATATCACGAGTACAAGGAGTAGATGAATCAATAATAACATATACATCGGAATTGAAACGTTTAGCCCAAGATTGCGAATTTACATGCGACGGTTGTAAGAAATCCATCTGTAACAACTTTTTAACATTACAGTTTATTAGAGGACTTCGTGACAACGATATTAAGACAAAAATCTTAGAAAACAGATCTGTAACTGATTTTGCAGACCTAGTTCGTACTGCAACCGCGATAGAGATGGCAAAGTCAGACAGCGACTTCATAGCACAGCCATCACAATCATGTAAAAACAACTTCCAAGTCGTCACACGATTTAAAAACCCCACGACAAACAATAGAGCGCCTATATCAATACGCGACTTAAGAGGCAAATGTTTCCGCTGCGGAAGCGCAGATCACCGCGCATCAGTCTGTAAATTTATCAACGATATCTGTAACAAATGCCAGCGCAAAGGACACATAGCACGTGTTTGTTTGCAATCGTTGAATACCAATAAACAAATTGAATCGGAACAAACATCCATACACAGAGAACCGCACTCATCAGATACCGTCGATGACGACACGCCCTGGAACACCAATATCATTCGGTCCAACAACTCTGATAAGTACATGATAAACCTTTCATACCTCAGACCTTTTATACCTGCAGCCTATGGGTCAACTACACTCAGAAAGCTATCAACTCTCTAAGAGTTGTATATAACAATATATTCCGGATGTTGTTGCGGCTGCCGCGATTCTGTAGCGCGTCAGGAATGTTCGCCGATGCCCATGTAGACGGATTTGCCGCCATAATGAGAAAAAGAGCGGCATCCTTGATGCGCAGAGTTCGTGGCAGCGGTAATAGCATTGTGGGTATTGTTGCTGGCAGGGTCCAGGGTTCATTTTTTGAACACTGGACTAAATTACATGTATGTCCTAAACCCAGCACGTATTTATGAATTTGTATCTTCTAACACTAGTATGTAAGTTTTTGTTTGTTATACTAACCAATATGGATGAAATCTGAATTAAAGTATTTGAATTGAATTGAATTGAATTGAAAAAAAATATACACATAGATGGTAAAGGCGCGGAAATGGAAATAGACACAGGCGCTGCGCTGTCATCCATGTCTGCTAAAGATTTTAGAAAACTAAATACGGGTCGAAAAATATTTAACACTGAAGTTACAATGCGAACTTATACTGGAGAAATAATTAAACCTCTAGGTGTTGTGTACGTCACTTGTAAATACAAGAATCAATCATTCAACGGCAAACTTTATATAATTAAGCAAGACGTTGATCCTATATTTGGTCGTGCATGGATACGTTTGGTAAAAATGGACCTAGCTAACATCAACGCCATCAAGGAATCCACGCATTCCCACTTAGAAGATCTCTTAGAGGAGTATGCTTGTATATTCGATGGCACATTAGGCTGCATTCCTAATTATAGAGGGCACATCGCTTTGGAAGATAACACCACACCTATTTTTGTGAAGCCAAGACGTATTCCCTACGCATTAAAAGAAAAAGTAGACGAGGAAATAGAACGGCTCTGTCAACAAGGAGTCATTACGAAAGTAGACAATGCCGAATGGGGTACACCGGTTGTGCCGATCGTGAAGCCGAACGGGAGCATCCGGCTCTGTGCCGACTATAAAGTCACGCTGAACAAATATATTAAAGTCGAACAGTACCCGATTCCTATTATTGAAGACATCTTGGTGGAGATGAACGGCGGCGAAATATTCTGCACGTTAGATATTAGCCAGGCTTATCTACATATGCTAATGGATGAACAGAGTGCCATGATGCAGACGCTGAGCACGCACAAGGGAACGTTCAGGGTCAACCGCCTTATGTTCGGCGTTAAAGTGGCACCTAACCTATGGCAAAAGTTCATGGATAGATTACTCAAGGATATTACTGGAGTCAAATGTTTCTTTGACGATATTATCATACAGGGATCAACGGAAGGACAATTGCTCGCTAGGCTCCGGATTGTTTTACAAAAATTGAAAGAGACCAATTTGAAACTCAACAAGGACAAATGTCATTTTATACAAAAAAGTATTAAGTACCTCGGGCATATTATCGATAAAGACGGTCTTCATAAAACCAAAGACAAGGTCAAAGCAATTCTAGATACGAACCGTCCGAGCAACATTAGTGAATTACGTACATTTCTGGGCATGGCCAATTACTACAATAAGTTCATACCCAATTTAGCTTCTATCTCATGCCCACTGAATAATTTACTTAAGAAAGACACCGAATTCACATGGTCATTTGATTGTGAGGATGCATTCAACAAAATTAGGAAAGAAATTCTTAGTGAACGAGTTTTAGTCCATTTCGATCAGACTAAACCTCTAGTACTCACCACAGACGCGTCGTGCAGCGGGCTCGGAGCTGTGCTCTCTCACAGGCTGCCAGATGGCTTGACAGGCCCATTGCCTTTGCGTCGCGTTCGCTCACTACCAGCGAAAAGAAATACAGTCAGATTGACAAAGAAGCGACATCAATCTTTTGGGGACTAAAAAAATTCTTTCACTACTGTTACGGTAGGAAGTTTATACTAGTCACAGATCACAAACCACTAACGATAATCTTCAATCCGTATAAAACACTACCGGCAATGAGCACTATGAGACTTTTCCACTACGCACATTTTCTTTCCGGCTTTGACTACAGCATAGAGTATAGATCATCAGCTGAGAACAGTAATGCAGACTACCTATCCCGATTCCCAGTTGACATGATAGCTACAAACATTATTGACGTTAATTGTGCCTTCCAATTGCAACAAATTAACAACATTTCGATTGACCGCCAAACGATTGCGGATGAAACCCAAAGGGATTCTGAATACGAGGCTGTAGTAGAGGCTTTGCAGTCAGGAACGAGTGTGACGCGATACGGTTATAATGATAATGAGCTGACGCTGCAGGATGGGTGTATTTTAAAAGGCACTAGAGTTATGATCCCAATTGCCATGAGACAGGCAGTACTGGAAGACATACATACGGGTCACCTAGGAATAGTGAAAATGAAACTCCTAGCACGAGGCTTTGTTTACTGGAAAAACATCGATAAAGACATTGAGGACCTAGTTAAAGGTTGTCGTGAGTGTAGGCTAAACCAGAACCAACCAGCACGGGCACCACGCCACCCCTGGGAGACCCCTAGAACCCCTTGGCAGAGACTCCACGTTGACTTCGCGGGTCCTATTCAAGGACAATCGTTGTTTGTCATTGTGGATGCATTTTCAAAATGGATAGAGATTATTCCCACTAAGACGACAACAAGTTCATGGTGCATCTCCAGATTGAAGGAGTTATTTGTAACATTTGGTTACCCGGAAATAATAGTATCAGATAACGGAAGGCAATTTGTGTCAACAGAGTTTGAAACATTTCTCAAAAACAACGGGATAGTTCACAAGACTTCAGCTCCGTATCATCCGGCGACAAACGGACAAGCGGAACGTTCTGTCCAGACTGTCAAGAGGGCATTGCAGGCGGCGAATGCTTACCCGGGTACCATACAGGAAAAGATACTGGAAATTAAAGAGCAATTGAGAAGGACGCCCAGTGTCAGCACTGGCAAAAGCCCATATGAAATCATGTTTGGGAGGGAGGTGAGGACGTCTATACATGTGCGATATAGGAGTACTGTAATTGACAACACAAGAAGCATTCCCCAACACCCGCAGACAAGGACGTTCTCCCCGGGCCAAAGAGTACAGATACGAAGCTACAAGAAAAACAGTAAATGGGAATTTGGAACTGTGTTACGAGTACTGGGCTATATCCACTACCTTGTCGAAACGGACGACGGTGAAACCTGCAAGAGGCACGTCGACCAGATGTTACGGTCAGCAATAGAAGTGCGGAACTAGTGCAAGGCCCAGGGTTTCCTTCTGAGGATTTTTACAGCGGAGGCCTGTTATATATCACTTTGGTACATTGTTATCTGGGTTACGTTTGACATATTATTCCATTATTATTCAATAAAATGTCTTAAAGTGATTTCTGTATTTTTATGAATATACTATAGATACCTAAAAAATACATGTTTCATACATAAGTAACTGACACTTGAGTGGGCCTGGAACATATATTTGGTACGTGTTAATGGCGCTTTTCCCATTGTAGTTTGCTGAGTCTTAGGGAGTTAAAGCTCGGAGTTGTATCGTAACTGTTATATAATAAGCATCTCCCTTCACATCAGGTGCACGACTTGTCAGTCCCGCTGTCTGGTATAAAAAAAACTACATAAATTGGACCCCAGACGTGTTATAAATGAGTTAGTTTAGACTGTAGTCCCCCAGTTGCCCAATTCGGATTACCGTGTGTTCAGTTCAGAGCTGTCGCATCCGGCTTCATAGATGTTGGATTTGGGTTCTATTGGAGCTTTTGGAGAGGTATTTGTAAAAATATATTCAAGAAAGATGTGTTTGTTTTTGAAGATTTTTTAATAGAGAGACAAAGTCATACAGATGTCATACAAAAGAAAAAGGAAGCTTTTAAAATTCGAAAAATATATACATTAAGAATAATTTTCAGTAGCCAGTATTTACTACACAAAAAAAAGTACTTACAACAAGAGATGACCAGTGTTCAGCCTCCATGGACAATCAGTGGAGTGTCTAGTCGCAAAGACGGACTCACTAGACTGGCATGAATCAAAAACATTCGAATTTCTTTTCGAAAATGATGAAGAGCGCAGACTCCGCCTGATTAAACATCCGCTACGAGCAGGCGACTGACAGATTTTTCCAAAAATAAATACCTTGCTGGTTGGTGCCTAATCACTGGCATTCTCGATCAGTATTAACCATAGCTATCTATGGTATTAATCGACAATATACGAAGTTGACACCGGCCCAAGCTTAATAGCCGCCATTAACATATTCGAGCGAGCTACATATTGTGCTGCCCAAAACATTTTTGTTAGTGAATGAATGAATGAATTAATTAATTAATGAAAGGAATGAATGAATGATTCCTTATTGCACATTAAAATGTAGAATATCGTACTATTACGTTGTTTGATTTCTTTTATTTCATCGAAGAAGAACGGTATTTGGCCATACAAATGCTAAATAGTGACGTCATTGCTCTACAATACATAATATAAATTTATCAAAATATTGAATCATGGCAATGATCGCTGCACGTTTAACACGAACGTTTGCGGGTGGTTTATAGAAATGAACATTTGTTGACGTCAGAACGCATCATTATTCATTACATTCATTTAATAATTTGTATAAGAAACGTTTATAAACTTTTCCATTAATTTATGAGAAAAATATCTTGCTTGTGAACGTGTTGAGGAAATAATAATTATAAACTTATACAGACAGATCATACAGGTATCTAAGACCTTTTTGAACCATCCTGTCGCGGTATTTTTCTGACTATAAATTGTGTTTGGTATACAAAATTGCATGGTACAAATATCTTTTTAAAAAGATACGAAATGTTTTATTAAACAAGGTCCACTGGATCCAAACCTTCGTTAACATCGTATTTCTATGCACATATTGAAATTGCTGAAAAATTCAAAGCTTCGCTTTGAATATGTAATGAATAAAAGCATCGTTTTATATTCACAAAAGGCTCCGAATGGTATCTGAAAAAAGTTTTCCAAGTAAGAATTTAAATCCAAAAACAAAGGTGTAAATACTATTCTCTAATTGGCGAGCAATTAATTCCAAACCTGGTCATTATTCTTATTTTAACCGACTAAAAATAAAGGTTTCTTTTTATGATACCAAGTGACTGGAAAAACAACTGGCGGTAAGCGACATACCTATCCATAGCAGTTTTAGTGCAACTCAGAAAACGCAAAGATCTGACGGGCACTGCCACAGGGCCCGTCACCCGCAAATTCGGAACGGCGGCGGCGGCGCGTGTTTAAGGTATGTGCGTTCTTGGATGTATCCAAAACAAGACACACGTTTCAAACCTTGACCGCTCGGCGGTACACGTCGCTGTTCCGAATTTGCGGCCTGAGACATATTAAGTTCACGAGTTCCAAGTGGCTGTAATTTCACTAGCACTACTACCCTTCAAAACCGGAATTACCGCTTGCCGTCAGAAATGACTTGATAATCTTTTGAATTTCAATTTAGATATATATGTATTTCAAATTTGTTGCCTCCTTCAAAACAGCATTTAAGAAATTTTTATTATTTACCCAGGTAGAAACCTGAGGTTAGAAAACAGCACAGGCAGTCGTCCTGTGCCGTCGTGCCATTTTACTACTGACATTAATATCCCAACCACAAATTCATAAGAACACAATTCACGCACGATTAATTTTGGTTTTATTACATCCCACCTACTTACTATACACATACACCCATTTTTAGCCGACTTTAAAAAAAAGGAGGAGGTTGTACGTTCGGCTGTACGTATGTTTACAGATATCTTCGTCAATTGTAATATAAATGGTGCATTTTCGTGTTGGTCCCATTGTCACCAAGTCACAGTCTGATGAGAGGATCCCATGAAAATCGAAGGAAATTCTCAAATTTAAAGGCATGTCCGTGTATTCACCGATTTCTTTATCGATTACGTACTGATTTTGAAAATTCTTCTTTTGTTTGAAAGGGTATACACTCGAGGTGGTCCCTGATGCTACTCTGGGTTCCTTTCGGCAATCATATTTTCCACAAATAAAAGCGGACTTTTCACTTAACATAATAAGTGTAATCAACAAATCATCGTCACCATGACAACCAGAAAAGAAAATATACAATGTACAAAGGAGTCCGTAACAGTCCCATTGTCACCAAAAAGTCAGAATCTGAGGAGAAGATCCCGTGGAAATCGAAAAAAGCCGATAAGCAAATTTTTGAAGTCGGTTTTTTTTTCAATGAAAAAGTTACAATTATTACTGCATGCACGTTTACTTCTTTTTTTGGTACTGTTTTTTCCATTGGAAAAGACAAAGGCACTGATGCGCCATACAGCCAAGACTGAGAGTAATCTCTTTCTTGTATCCCATTACAAAAATGAAATATTTTGGATAGTATCGAGTTCTTAGGTTTTCGCGATTGTTACACATAGGAAATGATACTATTTTTCCGGATTGAAATCGCGTATTTGTTTTTCAAACAAACCAACGTTTCGGGCCCTTTACAGGTCCCATAGTCATGGTTGACTGAGGTGGTATAGTCTTCCCTTTCCCTTCAAATCTTCAATAGTGCTTTGATTTTGATTTACGTCTAGTTAAGTCTATTCTATTTTTTTAACTGCTTGGACGAAGCGACATCGCCCTTGTTATTTATTCAGCTTTACGGAAAACCAGCGAACGAGGTGCTTTCACACGTCTTGTTACAAAAAGCCGAATGGAGATCATTTTGGTAACTTTTAAACGTGATTCTTTTATTTTCTGTTTTATCCGAAGGTTGTTTTATTTTTTGTTATCATTCTGTCAGATATATTTCGTCATAAAGTTACCAAACAAACTATTTTTCTTTTTTTCTGATATACAGGTCGTATCACCACCGTATTACTGGGCCACATCTGGAGTTATAAGTACATAAAATACCATTGCGGTGATAGCCTTGCAGCTATGAAAGGACTAATTTGGTTCACCTAATTTTCTTAATTAACCCTTGTGTAGGTTGTTTTCATCACACAGTGAATTTTTCGTGCATAAGCGTACAGTAAATAGATGTGTCCTATCCACAAAAATATAGCCTTGAAATATATCAACTCAAAAGATAAGTTTTATATAACAATGGTTCAATGGTGGCCTGCAATCTATTGTGCCTAATATAGGCCTCGCCCTGCGAAGGTCATCCCATTGTTATAAATACCCTTATAACGTATTTAGGAAATATTTTGGGATTTTATCATGTTAATGGCTTTCATGAAACGTATAGTTCGACAAACATTCACGTAAATGACTCCACCTTACATAAAAAAATAACAAAGTGTTTTAAGTTCGATGGTACTTTCCATTAGAGACTCTGTCTATACCATTGAGTATATAACCAGAAATAGAGACGAAATGTCATTTAATTTGTTTGAAAACTATTCTGCCATATCATTACTGTGACAACTGCGCTCCGATTGGCTAGCCCGAGTTCGAAACAATTGACGGGTGTCGTCTACTGTTTCACTTCAAATCGTCCAGTTTAACTTGAGCTTTGCTATAATGGACGAAAATTGCAAAATTACATATTTAATCTTTAATTACCGATGAAATGTGATTGCGTTTGTTTTGTAATTAGATGTTTTGATGTTTTTCCCACACCACCTAATAAAACAGCACGGTATTGTTAGAGATATTTATCTTTATTACAATAAATACAGAATATTTTTTGGAATATACGGAGACGTACACATAGGTCAGTAGTTGGACTGTCAATATTTTAGTGCAAACGGGAGTTGATATTTATAAGTGCTGTTTTTTTATTTATTAATTTATTTCTGGCCATGGAAACAAAGTCCTTCAGCCGAAAACATAAAAATAAGTTTTTCTGTAAATATGGCCGCCACAAAGAGGATAGGCAATTTGAGGCGGCGTGCTTGGATTGACTCGGGATTCCTTAGAAGGGGCCGATATGGGTATTTTAGTTCGAGATTCGTATAATTTCGCGTTTTAATCTTCGATTAAGGCACAATAGCACTATTCTATTCCACTTTAAACTAGATGTCACAAAATAATTGAAAGTCAAAATAAAAACGACACTTTTCCCTCCAAAAGGCCCAGAGCGAATCTATATAAGTGCTGTATCGCTAATGTGTTACCAGGAATATATGGCCCTTATTTCGTCTCTATTTCTGGTTATATACTCGATGGTCTATACATATAAACTACGTCATAACTGCATAAAAATTATAATAAGCTGCACAAAACAGGAATGATATAAAGTTA